TACTTTTTCACAACAGAATAACTATTTTTACAGCTTCCTCTTCTAAATCTTAATGAACCTTAGAAAAAAAAATTTTATCGATTTTACTTTCCGCTTCTCCTGTTTATTTATCTGAACCACTTGAGCAATGAAAGATTATTCTAAACTACAGCTGAATGACGTGCATTTTCTTTAATGTTGAGAACATTTATTGCCAAATAGTGCAACAAACGAGAGAGTTACCACTATTCACATTTTTGCCCATGTTTGTTATGAGGAAAAACTAGATGGGTGTTGTTTAACAGAAAAAAGTTCGTTTTTGGACGATACATCTGTCATAAAATAATACGCTGCAAACAGTTTGGCCAGTAAAGAAAATAGCACAGAAAAAAAAAATTGCGAACAAAAATCATTTTGGTCGATGATATGTCAGCATTGTTTACTGTATAATTTTCAAAAAGTTTATTGTGTACAGTAATCAAACATGTTTGAACCAATAATTGCTGAGTGAAGGAGATGGTTTAGAGTAGGACAACCAATAACATTCACGATGAATTAGTGCATAAGTATTCTGTATCGGCAGTACAACGTCCACGGCCAACTACGCCAACATCATGGTGTGCAATCGAAAACTATGTGGAAGGTTGCAGCGCCAGCACTAGTACAGCCAACAAATCTCCGTCAGAATCTGGGCCAAAAATGCGTGTTGTCATTCCATCAAAAGATCAACCACAACAAGGTTATTATTTTTTTTTTCATTGCATTTTTTCAGTTTTTTCTAAAATTAAATTTGCTTTTAATTCAATAGCTTTTAGTAGTTTTACAAGGAAAACTAAATTTTTTACTCTTTTAGTTCAAAAAAAAAAAGTTGTTTTTTTTTTTAAGATTTTTTAACGTCTAATTTTATTTTTAAATCAAATGAAACTTTTTTGGTACAATCTCATTTTTTGATCGCTTCAAAAATTTGTATCATTTGTCTACAGTGAATCGGCGTCGGAAATCGTCGATGTCATGGTGCGACTTTTATGAATCAATGTCATCGCAGCTTCCCGCACAAGTAGGTTTAGCAGTATCATATAAATTTTTCAGACTTTCAACAAATGACAAAATTAACACTTTTTTTTCTATTTTAACGGCTCTTTAATTTAGTTTATTCTAGTGAATTATGCAAGTTTTCGCTTATAGTACTGTGCCAAAAAAGAAGCCCTTTTTTTCAACTCTTTTTTTATCTTCTGTAAAGTATGTAAACATTATTTGAAGTGAATTGCGAAAACTACTGTTTTTTGTCTCTATTAGAAAATTTATATTGTATCTTTCTTTATAATACCTATAATGTTTCTCATATACAGCAAATATTCTCACTTTTTATAATCACTTTCTGCCAGGACCTTATACAGCTGAACCAAACTTTCTCTGCACAGTTAAATGTCAAACAAACTGTTTAAACAAAATTTGCCAAAAACACCGACGATCAAGCCGAAATTTTCAAGCAGAATCTTCTCTTTCAAAATTTTTAGAACATTTACACTACCATATTTTTTATTCTTTTTTCCCAAATATCTGAAGTTATGTTTGCCAAAAATCTTCAACGATTACCAAAAGAAAAAAAAAATAAAAAAGAACTGTTATACCGCAACGTTTAACTCTAGAATAAGTTAAATATTTTATCGAGCGAAAATAATCAAAAAAGAAGAGTTTTTTTTTTTTTTTTTCAGAACCAGGAACAAAAAGACTTTAAGAAGATCTTTTTTGCATAGTTTTAGCAATATATTATTTCAATTTTTTTTACACTGAATAATGAAATGTTATGGTTTGATATACTGCAAGTGTATTTATCATTTGCGCCTAACGTTAACCGCTGCAGCAAAAATAGAAAGTAGAAAAAAAAAGACTGATGGTGAGGTCAAAAGTAAAAAAAAGAAAAAAAAAGCAAAAAAGCACAAAAAAAAAAAATTTTTGAAATAATATGTAAAAAATTGAAAAAATTTTATACACATCCATCATTTTCTGTACAATGTTCCGATTTTTTTTTTTTTTCGAAAGATTGGTATTATTTATTTAGTGGTCTGTTTCTGAAAACTTTTATCCTGTTGCCGTTTCTTCACATCTTTTGCTCTTTTTCATTCTTTCTTCTGCTACTTTTGGTTTTGCTCGATTTGGCAAAAGCTAATGTTTCACCTGTGGCAGTTGAAGTTTAAAGGTGTTTTATGTGAAAGCGTTACTTCTCATCATCATCGGTCTCAACATTATTAACCTTTTTCGCTTTTCTTTTCTTTTTTTTTTTCTTTTTTTTTACTGCTATTGTTATTATTATTGTTGTCGCTGCTGCTGCTGAAAAGTTTTTTACGACGTAACTTCGTAACTTCAAAAAAAAAAAAAAAAAAATGCATGCATAAGCGGTTAGTATTGATCTGGGGGCAAAAACATTTCCTTCATCTTTTGTTAACCACTTTTGCTTCAAATCTGTAGTAAAGGAAACATTTGAATTCTTTTCTGTTTGAAGTACTTGAATAATTGCATAATTTTGTTATTTGATTATTTTTTTTTTTTAGACATTGTTGAAAAATACGTTTGTATAGTACGTACAATTTTTTGAATTAATAGTATTTTGACACTTGCTAATGTGCTATTATAGGCTGCTGACTTGACAACTATATAACAAAATATTTTTAATTGTAAACTGGTAAAAAACAGCAGAAACTGAAAGATAGTATAGGTAAAAAAAAAAGACAATGATTAGGCGAGTGAAAAGCGATAAACAACGACTTATTTTGCTCTTAATTTTAGTCTCGTAGTATGTCGCTGTCTGGACGAAGTTCAGCTGCTGGTATGTATGACGAAGACATTCTGGAGCAGAATCCGTCTTATCGGGATATAGCTCCGCCGAAACCAGTAGTACATCGGCGGTCGTCAAGAGAATGGGAAAATTTTGAAGAAAAATTAAGTAAGCCAACAGTAATTGTTAATGCAGTAATTAAACTAAAAAGTTTGAAGATTTTTTGACATCTGCTAACTCTTTTGAAATTTTACCTGAGTTTTTTCTTGTTTTTGCAACAAATAGATTCAGTATCAGTCACGTAAACAGCGTACTCTAATTATCCAGATTTCAAAACTTTTTTCAGTATAAGTAAAAAGTAATTTTTTTGTCTGTCAACTATACCTCTCAAATTTGGTTGATCTGCTGTTTAATTTTGGTGTTCCAAATCTTGTATTCTATTACATTTGTTTTACCCTTATTTCTTCCTTGATCATCGTCGTCATCATCACTTTGTTTTTACAGATGTTCCTTTCTCGTCTATCTTCAGCTATCCAAAAGATTTCTGTGAATATGTATTTTTGTTATCTCCTTGTTATAATTTATGAGGCGGGGAAACATAATCCAAAAAAGACTTTTGATGTTTTCTGCTCAACTAAAAAATAATGTAAAGCGATGAAAAAATGTTGTTTTTGTTAATTGCTTTTTTTTGCAGTTAAAAATTGCGCTAGTAGAGAAACTAAATCGATAGCAGCTTCATTTTTGAAGTAAGAAATCTGTTTTGGCAGCTATTTTATTGATTTCATAGAAGCATATTGGAGAGGGAAAACGGGTAGGGAAGGAATGGAGGATAGACGAGATCGAAAATGGTGGGCAGTGAAGTGAAGAGGGAAATGGACGAGGAAAAGGATAGAAGGGGAGGATTAAACATTTTCGTTTAAGGTAATCCAAAAAAATTGCCTCGTGTTCAGCATTCATATGCACGTTTCTGCGCGAGTATGTATATATACTGATACGAGCACATGAGTACTTCTGCGTTGTTGGTGCATATTTCTTGGATGGTTCCCGCAACAAATAATTTTAATGCTAAGTTACTCAAATTTCAGATAGACAAAAAAAATTGGAGATTTTCTTCCCTTCCTTCTCCTTTTTCCTCACTTTTTTCTTTTTCTTAATGATCAACAGAAATTCCTTTTGTTTCGGATCTTTGCACAAATTTTTTCATTTTTTTTTTTTTTTTTGATATAAAAATATTCACAGAGCTTGTTAAGGAGTTTTTAATAAGTTGTTTGTATTGTTGGTACAGACGACTATAGCGGCCGCGAAAAAGATGAAGGGGACGACGATGACGATGACATCAACAACGATAACGTCGATGGCCTTGAATACTGGCCAGCAGCAATGCGCAGCTTTATTTTTCATCTTTGCGTGTGTGTTTCATAATTGCTGAATGATGCTGCCCTGACCGAGCTTAAAACTAAAACACCCCTTCATATACTTGTGGTCCACCAATCACCGTTTTCACTGATTCACCCATCACTCATCTCCTTCATCCTCCTCCGCTGTCGTCTTCTCCTTACTTCAGCCTACTTCAAGCAAGCATGCTGAAAAAAAAGGAAGGAATGACAAGGAAAGTAAACCAATCTTCTCCTCGTCAATTTTTGTTTTCGCTGTTTCACTATGGTGCTTCCTAATAAAAATGAATAATATTTGATTTGCGTTTTTATTGATGTTTCTTGTCGTTTTTTCTTTTCTCTGCAACTTTTCATCGCCTATCTACATTTGACTAAAATTTTATTTTTTATTTTTATATTTTTTTTACATCAGCAGCAGGAAGATAAAGTTTTTTTTTTCAAATTTCAGGATAATCAACGCGATTGTTGTTTTCATCACAACCGTTCAGTGTGCCTTTATTTTATGCTTTACAAAGGGAAACTGTCTAGTACGTGAAAAAATAATCTTTTTTTTGATCAAATAATTTTATTTGAAACTTTTTGATGAAATACGGTATACCGCTGTCTGCGTTGGAAAAAAATCGTCTGTTTATCAAGGTAGCCGGACGGTTGTTGAGCGGTTAATTAAAGTGAAGAATACAGTTGAATGAAATTGGTTTTCAAAAAGTAAAAGGAAGAAATTTCTCTTTATAATTTTTTTGGAACTAACTGCTAGTTTTGGTGACGAATTTTTTTTGCTGTCATCTACTTCGTTGTTAGAAGTGATGAAAAATTTACAACTAAAAAAGTGCTCAAAAAATGCAGTGAAGAAAGGGTACTTGCAATAGAGTAAACAACTCAATTTTTTGCTTCTTCTGTCAGCGCTTTTTCCTTTACTTTTTTCTTTTCTTCTCTTTTTCTCTTGAGATTTCTTGATTTATAATTTGCATAAAGTTAATGAAAATAGAAGATTGATTTAAACAAACAGTACAATACTTTTAATATTCATTGCTGACAACTGCTCTCACATTTAATTTTTTTTTTGTTCAAAAGAGGCAGGTGCTGCTGAGTACACGTTCATTTAACAACAAGGGTGGCATATATGGGATTGCCTAATTAAGGTATTTTGTTCTTTGGACCTATTGAAGTTTGACGACAGATATTGAGCAGCGGGTGACTTTTGATAAATTGAGGAAAAAATATATTTTTTATTGATTTTTATGTTGTTTAGTTAGCTGGAAAAATTTAAGTTTGTATAACCGCAATAATCAGCTAAAAAGTAAAACGGAATAGAAAATCAAAAAAATCTCAAAAAAAAAAAAAAAATCTCAAAAAAAAAAAAAA